ATGAGTTTTAAAATATCGGCATATCGGATATCGGCCAAAATCCCAATATCGTGCATCCCTAGTTATGTCACATTTTCAACATAAATTTAAATGCACTTTTAATGGTAGATCAACAGAAAATAGTGTTGATTGGGAGTGGAAAGAAATCACGCAAAAACAGCTCAAACTATTTGAGGCATCGCTCTATAAGTTTTGCACTTCTCCACCAATGAATGGTAATAGATCAAAACAGCTCTAGCTTATTCAGACAGTAGGCAGGGTGTCAGTAAGCAGGATGTTTTAAGTCTGTAGAGTTTTAGCGTTTGGCGCAGGGCAGGCAGTTGGATAGAGGCTGAATACGAATAATAAACAATCCTTTCAGACTTTCACTGTAGAAAAGTGTTGAAAACCAGATATCTTCTTCCATTAGTGTCAGAGTTAGACCTTCATTAGAATACATGAAGGTTTGTTGCTGCCCATGGTAAAATATGAGACATTCTGAGCTGGAAGAAGATGTTAGGGGTCAGTATGAGGTTGGTTTCTTATAAACCATTTGATGCTTATTGTTTCAGATACAAAATGAATTCTTCCTTAGAGGAGTTTAGCTCCTACTCTTATTAAATTTCTTATATTCACAGAGCATTACACCCCATAGATACCAAGACTTTCTCTAATTACCACCTACAATCAGGGCACTATTTACTGTACGGCTAAAGTATCTCTGTTTGCACTGAATTGCTCTGCATTACTTCTATGAGATTTACAGTTGTGGCTTTCTGGCAGTTCTCTGTAAACATCAACATTATTTTTATACCCTTTAGGACGAATAAGACTAAAAACGCCTTGCATTACAAAAACTGCTTCCACTGGAAATAGCGGGAAGATCCTTTCATACCTCAATTTAAGAGCTCCATTTCTATTTTTCATGGAAAAACACTAAAGGCAAAGATGGTGCTCAGCCTCCCACCAAGCATGCCCCGTCATGAGCAGAATTTAAAAGAAGGAGTTGCCATTTGTTCTTTTTTATTGCTTTTTGCTCTCTCATCTCTATTTGTCATGCCTACCTTGTCTATATCTAAGCCACATTGAAGTTAATCACCGAAAGAGGAAATGCAAAAGGGTGTGTGGCTATATCAGTTAATCTGTCTGCATGTAGTAGTTAATCTCTTTTTGGAAAGCTACTTAGGCAGCGAGGCCTGAGACGATAGGTCCTGTAAACTGTCCCAGGCGGATTACATCTAGGAATGGGACACCTATATTTCCTCGTGCAGCTGATTCCAGGTGACTAGAAGGGTGTGTTCAGGATGTTTGCCCTTTGTTACTCTGAAAGGAGCATGTGCTACTTTACGGTCATTGAGCAGCAAGAATCCAGGTCAACCTCTGAGAGAGGAAGTAATGTACCTTTGGTTAATGATTATTTTCATTACAAAAGAAAATGTTTTGGTTTATTGTGTTTAACTAGCCTGTACAATATGTATAAAAATCTCTCTCTATATAAAACATACAGTTGTAACAGAAACTGGAGCGTTCCAAAGGTTCCTAGGTCCACACTGTGTTATAACCGACACTTGGGAAAAGCACATCTTATCTTGGCTGTGTATGCCATACAAAAGGATTGTTACCTATTTGCATTCAAGGGGTTAAAATAAACAAAAAACTCTCCTAACTATTGTTCAAAATGCTATTGTTTAGTTTTTATTTGTTTTTTTAGGGAAAATGTTTCTGTTATAAGGTTTTGTTTTAAAATCAGTGCAAAACTACAACCATCTGGTAACAGCTTACTTATCTGCAGGAGGAAAACAAGGTATCAAATAAAACTACTGATAACTATAAATAATCTATAGCTTCTATGAAAAAGCAGGCTTTATTCAGGTAATCTTTAGTCATGCATATTGTATATTAAGGTGGTGATAATGAAGGTGAAGAATGCAACAATGACATCAGTTGTGATGTATGCCTCCTTTCTCATCTGTGTTTCCTACATCTGTGCTTCCTACAAAACATTTTGGAAAATGCTAAAGCCGAAGCATCTGCTGCCTTTGAGACTGTCCTTCTACCTAAATATTACATTTCTAGTTAGTGGTTCAACGTTTAAAACCTTTTCTCATAATGGCTTTTTTACCTTTGGCTATAATTAGACCAAGTAGCTGTCATACTCTAAGGTTTACATCAAATGATTACCAATTGTTTAGTGTTTATGTTTTAGAACATGAACTTATCTCCATATTGACTCTACTGGTACAACTGAGTCCCTTTTTCTGTGAAACCCAATGAAGTAGGCATACTTGCTTATTCACCAAGGGCTACAAAATATTGTGTAGTCATGAAATCAACTTATAAAAAGTTACTTAATATGTTAATGACAAAAAATACCTCTGGAAAGCCTGAATTTGGTTTATAAAAAGACATATTCTAGATATTTTCTGTATTATATTGGGATTAGACAACACAGAATAGTGCAACTAGAAATGCATTCATTTTAATCCCCCTTGGGTGAAAACTGAAAGGAATCCTTTAGCATATGCCTCTATCAGTTTGTTGTAAGCCAGTGGTCTCCAACCCTGGTCCTCAAGATCTACTGTCCTACAGATTTT